CTCCCAAGAATATACTGCAGCTATAGAGTGAACAAGGTTAGAGCATAATCCCGATATCAAAGCCGAACAAAGATAGCCAAGAAAGGATTAGTCAATTGTAACTACAGATAGGAAGCCAAACAGTACCAAATCTAATCCAGAAACACAGAAAAAGAAAAAAAATTCCATATTCAGGAATACAATAACCATCCCACATTAGGTCTAGTAATGCATTACACACTACAATTAACTCCAGGTGGGTTAAAGTGTTAACTATAAAAACTGAAGCCTTTTAAGAAAATTTAAAAAGTGAATATTCATGCTATTAGTGGAGAAAAATTGACTGAGAATAATCAGCAAAAAAATCAATGGATTTGACCATATAAAAATATAACATCAATATTTTAGAGCCAAATTAGAATTGAACACCAAAATAAAAGTATTACCACAAAAATGACAAAAAAAGATTGTTTCTATTAAAAGAATTCTTACACGATAAGAAAACACTAACAACCTAAAAAAATGAGCAAGAGACAAACTGCCAATCCATGGAAAACAGACAAATGGCCAGGAACTATGTGCAACATCATTAACAATCAAAGAAATAAATACTAAAATGAAGGCTGCTTTTCAATCTTAGATTGGTTTTTTAAATGTCGTGATAATAATACTGGAGTGAGACGAGCATTCTCAAACTGCTGGTGTCATGTACACTATTAAAATCTTTCTAGAAAAAGAAGCCAAGAGCCTTTAAAAAAATGCTTATGCCCTTTGATTTTCCAGGATAAAGAGTCACACAAGAACATTATTAAAGCCACTTAATTAGGCAAAAATGAGAAATGCAATTGCAGGATGTATAGACCTAGGTATAACCTATTCAACATTTTATGTGTAAAATATACTTCTGAAATAAATATATATAGTAATGAAAACACATTTGAACTACTCCTACTCCTTGCTGTTAATTTATATATAAAGTGTATTAATAAATATTTGCTGCCCAAGCTAAATATTAATCAGGGGACTGCTACACAGATTATACATACATCCAAACATGGGCCTGGTACCACTGAAAATGAGGATTTCAATGAACGTTTAAGGACACAGGAAAATGCTTATCATATAATATTGAACTAAGAAGAATACACACATACACACACACCATTATGCCAGTAAGTTGCTGAATCAGAGATGACTTTCCTCCTTGATGTTTTTCTGTATTTTTCAGGTGAATCTGAAGTGATGCTGTGTGTTTTTTAAAGTTACAAAAACAATGGGGGAGGGAGAAGAAAAAAAAACCCACACTCACTTTTCTGTAATTTCCCATTTTAAGGGTAAAATATACTTCTGAAATGTATATAGCAATGAAAACATGTTTGAGGTAATCCTACTCGTTGCTGTTAACATATATAAAGTATAATAAATATTTGCTACCCAAGCAAAATATTCACCAGGGAACTGCTACTTAAATTACACATACATCCAAAAATGAGCCTAGGGCCACTAAAATTAGGATTTCAAGGAACGTTTATGAACACAGGAAAACGCTCACCATATAATAGTGAACTAAGAATAACACACCGTTATACCAGGTGGTTGAATCAGATGACTTTCCTCCTTTGTTTTCTGTATTTTTCAGGTGAATCTGAAGTGAAGTTTTTTTAGTTACAAAAACAATGGGGTAGGGAGAAGTAAAAACAAACTCATTTCCTAAACATCACATTTTCAGTGTAAAATATACTTCAGAAATGTATATAGTAATGAAAACATGTTCGAGGTAATCCTATCCATTGCTAGTAATCCTATTTCTTGCTGTTAATTCATACTAATAAGTATTTGCTGCCCAAATTAAATATTCAGACCTTTCCATGTATTTTTTTAAAGTTCTCATTCTCCAAACTATTCTACGGTAAGCAGCACACGTAACGTTTTCTATATGGTGTCAATGTCGTTCATTCCAACATGACTATTACAAAACCACGTATTAACTCAGGAACCTACAAACCAGCTTCATAAAACAAGCCTAACCTTACTAAAATGTGTTCATTTTATCAAGCTACTCGCTCCTATCTGAATGTCAGTCAATAAATCTATTTGAATATGAAGACCGGGCAAACTCTAAACTGTTTGAGAATGCTTTCCAGGATAAAGAGTTATACAAAACATAAAAACGTCCCTCCCCAATACCATCTGCATATCGTATTATTTGTAAAACCAAGACCCCGTGGGTTTAAATGCGGACTCCCTATTACCGACTCCCTATTACCGCTTCCACTTGTAAATGTTACAGAACAGATATGCCTAAAGCCGATACCTTGAGGGAGTCCAGGATACCTCGGTCCTTGAAGGTCTGGTACAGCTTTCTACGTAGTTCGTCTTGAGTCAACACGTCCTCATTAAAGGGCATGGTGAGCTGGAAGAGAAGATGCCGACGGTTACTGGGCAGGCAGAGGGCACGGGCATTTCTGAGGACGGAACAGTGGCTGACCTTCGGGAAAGCGGGAAAGCCCCGCGGGGACGGCGCTTTCACGACAAGCAAGAAGCTTCGTCCCCCCACGTGCGCACCTGGTTGGCACTTGAACAAAAACAAACACGAAGCTTCGTCCCCTCGCGCGCACCCGGTCGGCCAAAACAAACAAGAAGCTTCATGTGGGCGCTTTAACGAAAACATTAAGAAGCTTCCTCCCTTCAAGTGCGCACCCGATTGGCACTTTAACGAAAGAAACATGAAGCTTCGTCCCCCCACGTGCGCACCTGGTTGGCACTGGAATGGAAAACGAACAGGAAGCTCCCTCTCCTCACGCGCACCCGGTTGGCGCTTTCACTAATGAACACAAAGCCTCGTCCCCTCACGTGCGCACCCGGTTGGCACTTAAGGAAAACAAACACGAAGCTTCGTCCCCTCGGGCGCTTGAACGAAAACAAACACAAAGCTTCGTGTCGGCGCTTTAACGGAAACATAAAGAAGCTTCTTCCCTTCAAGTGCGTACCCGGTTGGCGCTTTCACGAAACAACCAAAGGACTTGTATGCAAGCATATAGGCCTAACCAATGGACACAGACAGAGGGGTGGGGGATGGGGGTAACGTGGGGGTAAGGACACATATGTAATAAGTTAATCAATAAAGAAATTTAAAAAAAGAAGGTTCGTCCCCTCAAGTGCGCACCCGGTTGGCGCTTGAACAACAAACATGAAGCCTCGTCCCCTCACGATTGGCACTTGAAGGGAAACAAACACGAAGCTTCGTCCCCTCACCCGCACCCGGTCGGCGCTGTACGAAAAGAAACACGAAGCTTCGTGTCGCCCCTTTAACGGAAACATTAAGACCCTTCGTCCCTTCAAGTGGGCACCCGGTTGGCGCTTTCACGAAACCACCAAAGGGCTTGTATGCAAGCATATAGGCCTAACCAATGGACACAGACAACAGGGGGGCAAGGGCATGAGTGGGGGGATGGGGGGTAACGGTTAAGGACACATATGTAATAACTTAATCAATGAAGAAATTTAAAAAAAGCTTCGTCCCCTCAAGTGCGAACCTGGTTGGCGCTTGAACGACAATAAACATGAAGCTTCGTCCCCTCACGATTGGCACTTGAAGGGAAACAAACACGAAGCTTCGTCCCCTCACGCGAACCCGGTCTGCGCTTTAACGAAACGAAACACGAAGCTTCGTCCCTTCAAGCGCGCACCCGATTGGCACTTGAACGAAAACAAACAGGAAGCTCCCTCTCCTCACGCGCACCCGGTTGGCGCTTTAACGGAACGAACACGAAGCCTCGTCCCCTCACGTGCGCAGTCGGTTAGCGCTTGAAGGAAAACAAACACGAAGCTTCGTCACCTCACGCCCACCCGCACCCGGTCGGCGCTTTAACAAAAACATTAAAAAGCTTCGTCCCTTCAAGTGCGCACCCGATTGGCGCGTTAACGAAACAGGAAGCCTCGTCCCCTCACGTGCGGACCGCGTTGGCGCTTTAACCAAACGAACACAAAGCCTCGTCCCCTCACGTGCGGACCGCGTTGGCGCTTTAACCAAACGAACACAAAGCCTCGTCCCCTCAAGTGCGGACCGCGTTGGCCCTTTAACCAAACGAACACAAAGCCGTGTCCCCTCACGTGCGCACCGCGTTGGCGCTTTAACCAAACGAACACAAACCCGTGTCCCCTCACGTGCGCACCGCGTTGGCGCTTTAACGCTTTAACCAAACGAACACAAAGCCTCGTCCCCCCACATGCGCACCCGGTTGGCACTTGAATGAAACAAACACGAAGCCTTGTCCTCTCACGCGCACCCGGTTGGCGCCTGAACGAAACAAACACGAAGCTTCGTCCCCTCACGCGCACCCGGTTGGCGCTTTAACGAAAACAAACAAGCAGCTTCGCGTCCCCTCAAGTGCGCACCTGGTCGGCGCTTTCACAAAAACCAACAAGATACTGCACCCCACACGCGCACCCGGTCAGCGAAACCAACAAAA